AATAGTATAGGGCTTTCATAAATTCATTAAATATTACACAGCGGAATATAGCATTGGTTTGTTGGGCGGAAACATTGAACTTAACATATATCACGAGAACCAACTAGAAACACAGAAAATAGAAAGCTAGTGCGTTAAAGCAATCTAAATCCACCTTAAAAGCCAAATCATTCATGGAGACTATTTGAGTGATAACTTAACTAAAATCATGAATGAACTTACTTGGCTACGAAAATGGAGAGGCACAACCTCTTTAGAACCAGAAAATTTGGCTGGAGTAACTTTACATGCATCTGCCTGGTCGATACTCTTAACCTGTGAATTTATATAAAACTGTAACTCAAACAACATTTACAAGAAGCGTGATTCATCCGAGATTTTATAAAATAAAGCGGCGTTAAGAGCGGTTAGACTGCCGATTACCTTGCTAAACTGGACAAAACACTTGAAATCCACAGACCAGGCAGTGAAAAGCAAGACTAAGATGTGAGAAGCAGCAAGACCACAAAACGCGATGGCAGCGTCTGTGAAGTCTATGCTAGGCAGGATTGTAGTCAACCATACTGCATACAGAATCGCAAACGGCCAAACGTCCAAGCGCCAAGCCCAGTGTTTCTTCCTACGTAAATCCACCTTCTCCACTACTTTTCCTCCCACGCGAAAGCTCGACATCTCCAAACAAAAAAAAAACCAAGACCTAAATTCACCGTCAATCGTCTGTAGTAAAAGGTAATCGCATCACACAAAACTCAATGAAACTGAAATCACCATGGTTTCCAACAATTCAAACGATCGAAATCTCGCGCATTCGGAACAGAACAAGTTTCAAAGAAAACCTCAACCCTAAGCTATCGATATACTGAATCAGATCTTGCGAGGAGGGAAAGAGACGAACCTTTGAAATTGGATTAAGGTTGAATCGGGAGATCTAAAACTAGGGTTTTTCCAATCACATGCTCAGATTGATAAGATCGAATCTCTCCTTTTCTTCGTCTCCTTCACCTTTCACGACTCTGGGGGTTTTGGATGCTCGATTCACGACGAATCGTCTCTTTATATTAGACGCTCCGGTTTCAGTTCTTGTTTTTATTTAGGCCCCTAAAGTATATATATTTATTAGACTTTTATATTTATCTGGTACGAAAAATCGATCCGGTTCAATTCAAATTAATCACTAAACCATATTTTATGCAGTACAATTTAAATACATTTTTTTATCAATTTAAATGCATTTTTTATATCCCAACTATTAATAAATATGATTCATAGTTATATACATTTGTGTGAATATATATGATTTATAGGGAAATCAAAATATATGCATCCTGTATATACCATGGTATTGTTTATCAAAATATAAAAAAGAATTTGATGAGAATCAAGTACAAGAAAAATTGAATAACTCTTACTCATTTTACACCTTAAAAACAAACACAAAACACAAAGGCTAATTAAGACTTATATACGAGGTTGATGAGACATATAAGTCATGTTGTACGGAATGGAACCCATGTTGATCGGTGCACTAGGAACCGAGGAGTAAGGTACTGACTGATGTTGAACTCCATACGCCATA